CGCCCACCCACCAGGTCCGCTGAGTAGGTTGCCCAGGCTGTAGCCCCGCTCTGCAGTGATGCCCTCGACGTCCTGGTCGGGCGCCGCCACCATCACCATCTGTGCTATCTTGGCCTCCAGCGTCATGTTGCCCACGATGCGGGCTATCTCGGCCTCCATCGCCTCGTCCTTGAGCGGCATCACCTTGAGGTCACGCGGCCACGCAGCGTGGGCCTCGTGCGCAGTGGCGAAGGGCTCGTCGATGAAGTTGGGGTACGAGTTGGACTGCAGCTCTCGCTTGTGCGCGGCGGCGGGCTCCTCGGCAGTGACATCTGCAGGGCCACGAATCTGGCATGAGGCGACCTGAAAAATGGCCAGGAGGGCGGCGACGGAGAGGAAAGGACACGGCATGATCTCAGCGACGGAAGGGGCTCGAAAGAAAGAGGCTGCCTGCCGTTTGTGCCAGGCGTTAAAGCTCGCAGAAGTCGCGAACCTGCCTTGCATCATTCCAGCGACGCATTCATCACCAGCAGCGGAGTATCGTCAGCCTCTCCAACTCAGATGCGGTAAGTACGTGAGAGGCAGATCTGTGCTGGTTGATCAGGTCTGCTGACCAACTGGTGTGTTTGCTCTGTGGATCTGATCAGGTCACTCGTACTGCACCGAGCCGAAGTGAGAATGTAGAGGCATCCATCTCTCCCCTGAGCTCTCCTCTTCTCTCGGTACGGCGATATCACAGACAACGCATTTCACGCCCCATCCGCTGTGTGGATGTGCATGTGCCTTTGGGTCAGGGTGACGACTCCCGACGATGATGATGTGCCCAAGAACTACCCACTGGCAACAGCAGTCGAAGACCACGAGCAGCAGGGTAGGCAGACACTCGTACACACACGTATATGGCCCGTATGCCACTGGGGGGCTCTTGTGTGTAGGGGGCAGCTGGTTCTCTTGCACAAGTGTGTCAGCGCTGCGTGGTCGCTCACGGCAAATGAGGTCATGCAGCTGGCGCAGATGTGCGACCTGACGCGGGACATGGACATGACGGCCACATTCGACTCGATGCGCCTCCGACTGCACGCCCAGCTGACGGTGAGCGACCTGCCTTGTCCTGAACTCGCGTACATCGTGTTTGTCATGTGTCCCTTTGTGTGCGTGTGTGTGTGTGTGTGTGTTGCGCAGACGGCGGTAGATGGCAGCACGGTGGCCAGGGTGTACGAGATGTTCATCTGCCAGTGGGTCGGGACGCCCAACAAACGGCTTCGGCTGCTCTACCGGTATGCACATTCACCCCCCGCCCCCTCGGCCCACCGCCAGCCTAATCTCTCTCTCCTTGTGTGTTTCCCTTTCAGCTCCACACACGATGGCCCGTCGTATGGCGATCTACTTCGGTGCGTGGGCAGCACCAAGGGCCTCGTGTTCGTCGTGCGCAAGAATCAGTACGTCTTCGGCGCCTACATCAGCGAGGGCATCAAGCTGCCAGATGCTCCGATGCTCTACAACAGGTACGAGTGCGGTGGGTGGCAATTCTGCCTCGCCGGCAACTTCGACACGCCCACGAAGGTCGAGGTACCTCAGGCGCACGTGTATGTAGCCGGCAGTGAAGGGGCAGGGGAAATTTGTGGGAACATCAGTATCGAGGGCAGTCAGGGGTATACAAAGTTCTCGTTTCTGTGTCTGGGTTATTCCGAGACCGACATGCGTTTTTCTGCCGACATGCGCTTCTGCTGTCAGGGTATCGATGTGCGTGAACTGCCTACGGGCTATCGGGGGCATGTATATGAGCCAGATCTCTTCCCATGCACTGCTGGTTTTTCTGGCAGCCACACGAGGTTCCTGGCTGATGAGCTGGAAGTGCTCTGCCTGGTGTGAGCACTGTCTTGTCTGTGTCTGTCATGCATCCACGAGTAGCTCTTTAGGTTTTGTTAGTGTTAGGTACTGGTAGCTACTGCTGACAAAAGTGATGCGACGAGGCTGGCTTTTGTCGGTCAATTCTTTCGCTGAAGTGGGCGAGTCAAAACGTCGTGTACCTCGCTCCATGAGCCTATGGTGCGATGACGCTTGGGAGAACAGCAGCACATGTTTGTGTTGAGAGGCTGCTGGTCGTCTGATGATAGCGTCACTGACTATTGGCTAGGATACTGTCTCTGTGTGTGCGAACGGTTGTGGGAATGACTGCGTCTGTCCATGTCGACCCTTGAAGCCTTGTGCTACACACATCACACCAATCACACCAATACAGCGCCCGACCCACTAAGCAACTAAGCAACCAAAAACGAACGATCCGGACACGCCACGCACTCTACTACTTGCCACTCACGTAACATGGACTACTTCCATCTCGACAGCAGTGAACTCCTTGCTCCCAGTGAGCAGCACATTGCCCCACTCGTCGGTGAACTCGAACGCCGAGCCCCCAAGATGCAGGCGCACCCCAGGCGTCTTGTCAGCCAGGATTCTCAGTCGGCCCCTGCGCAGGTCGGGCAGGGGGGCGCATGGCGACGCCGTGTGGCTCGTGTACCCGAGCATCAGATCCCCACCGCCGATCCACACCTGCATGCAATCCACCAGACACACGACACACTGCCTGCCTACACTCACAATTTGCCCCCTTCTCCTCTCCACTCACCTTTGCGCAGTTGGCGACCCAGCCGTCGACGCCGGCCACCTCGACCACTCGCCGATGCGGGCGGATGTCGATTCGTGTCGGCTGGCGGTACAGCTCGTGGTACGTGAGCGTGCTGAACCACACGGGGCACTTGGCCTCCTTGGTCCCCTTGGGATCGCCGCACAGCAGGTCGCACCCGATGTAGCACGCGAAATCGGAAGGGCCCCGTGCGCGGATGATGAACAGGAGGCCACTGGCGCTGCCCACGCACCGGAGCAGGTCCGCAAACCGCCATCCGTCGACCGACGCCCTGCACGCAATGCACCAGACACACACACGCACACACATTAAAGTGGAGGCTGCACATGGACCAGTGCGTGCACCCGGTCCCTGCTCACCTACCTATACAGTAGCTTAAGTTTCGGCTGCGTCTTGCCGATCATGTCGACGAGCGCCTGATACTGATCCGGCGACGTGACGAACGAGTGCTTGGCGAAGGGCGGGCCGTCGAGGGGCTTGCAGAAGGGCACAGGAGCCATGCCGCACTGCTCCAACACCTGGTTGATGGCGGGGTCTCGGCCGTCGCCGGGAGGGCAGATGCTTGCGCCGCGCCAGGCCAGACGCTGTCGCCGCGCGAGGTCAACGGCCGACTCGAACAGATGGTCAGGCGTGTCGCGCACCTCCGGACACCACCTGAACACACCCAAACCAAGAGTGAGCGCCTGTCGCCCTTGTCTCTTGTCGTCTGCATACATGGTGAATCGGTGGTGGAGCGCCTGGTCGATGTGCTGCTGCGTGAGTGTGGCCTCAACCGTCGCCACCCGACTGCCTGACTCCACGAGATGCACGCCCACCACCTCGCCCACACCCCCCGTCTGCAGGAACGGGTCAACAGCCATATAGAATGTCGTCACTGCCTCGTCGATGCGCTCTAGACGATCCAAGGCGCTCTTGTAGGCGTCTGCGACAGACCCCGCGCCGATGTCCTGCCCCCATTTTTGATGCAAACCGGCAGGGGGCGGTCATGGAAGGGAAGAGCGGGCAGCAGCTTGCCGTCGCATGGAGCTGTGGGCGCGATGATTGTGATCTTGAATTGGTCCGCCTCTTCAAGTTCTTCTTCGACGATGGCCATGCTGTGGTCGAACAGCTGGTGGTGGTAGAAGCGGATGGACTCGTCGTCTTTCTCCGCATCAGTCAGGTCGCTCTCGAATCTGCCCTTCTCCGCTGCCCTTTTGACGCGCCGTTTGAGCCATCTGCCGAACGCCGAAGACGCGTCGAGAAACGGGCAGTGGTCTCTGCGGCCGTCTTGTGTGGGGGTGGTGTCGGGAGCGGCGGGGAGGGCGTCCATGTGGTGCAGCATGACGAGGGAGAGATAGGTCCCCTTCATGCCGGGCATCAGCAGCACGTTGGTAGGGATGACCAGGTCGTCGAAGCCTCCCACATTGAGACGCATCTCGGGCCTCTGGGCGGCGATTTCCTCATCGCTGCGCATGAACAGAGTGCCGCCTCGGCGCCTCACTGTCGAGCGGATGCCGTCGACCAGCTTCTTGCCAGCATCAGCGCCCTCTTGAACAGCCTCAGCTAGCCGTGCGGCGAGGCTATCGGCGCTGCGCGTTGTGTCTGCATGAGGCTGTCAAGATCCGCCGCAGCAACGGGTATCGGGGACGCCATTGTGCACAGCTCGTCTTGAGAGGCACTGGGACCATCACAGCATCCACATGAGCACCTCCATTCGGGAGCACCTCCACTCACATGCGAGCTAAATTTGTGACTTCAGCTTGCAGATCTGCCCGAAAAGAGGCGAATTCATCGCCGCGAGTCCTGATCTGACCATTGCCGAACGACAGCGTGCCTTTCGACTCATTGTCGAAGCGCTTCTTTGTGTTGCGGCTGTGCCATGGTGCGTCTGAAGGTGCGATGGCTGGCTCTGTCCTTTGAGTGGGAAGAGCGGACTTCACTCCCGCCACTCACAAGCACTCATCTCATGGAGGTGCGCACGACAGGTCATGAGTGCACCTTCCTCTTTCCGACTCATCAGTGGTGCGTCCATGAATGTGTGTGTGTGTGTGTGTGTGCAGGCGCTGCGTGAGTCACTGGAGGAGAATTTCGGAGAGATGGGGCTGGGGAGGAACCTATCGCGGCTAAAAGGTCAGCAGATGAAGACTCTTGCACACTGGGGCTGGTATGTGTCTGTGTCCCCTCAGTGATCTACTTCAGTCCCGCGACGGGCTTTGGGGTCATCAGATGTGCCAGGGTGCGATCACACCGGCCTCACTGGTCTGGCCCTTGCACCATGCACCCATGGCCGCGTGCTCTCTGTGTCTGGTTGCTCAGACCTATTATCAGCTGGTGTGGGCGGCGCTGACTCTCATGACGTCCATCGGTGGCGTACGAGTCGCCATTCAGGTCATCCACTGCTCAGGTATACAAACAGGGGGCCATTAGGATGCAGGGCGCATCCACGCGTGTGTGTTGCCTCTGCCCTCACACGCAGGTACCATCAAGCGTCTGCAGACGGAGGTCATCGGGTCGCTTCGCACGTGGCTGGAGGCCTTCAAGACCATACTCACCAAGCGAAATCCGAACCTCAAGTACGAGAGACCGCCCGTGAGTTGCTGCTTGGGGTAGACTCTCGCTGTGTGTATGTGCTGTGTGTCCATTTGCAGAGGACCTGCCTTGGATTTGCGGTTGTCTGAGGCGCAGCGCCACTTTGATGAGGCCGAGAAGGCCATCATGACGCTCACCATCTGACGAGAGCATACCTTGCAAGGAAGGGGCTTGTACAGACAGACGAGGATGAGTGCAAGTGCTGCAGATGAGCTCGTGTGTGAGGGTTGTGCTGACGACTTGTGTATAGACTTCACCATGGTGTTTGTCATTGAATGCCTTCATTGTTGCGAGTGTCACACTCACGACACATCCAATCTGTGAGTGTAGTCGTGAACATGACATTCGCACAGATCCAACACATCCTCACTTGTGTCATTCATCCACTCAGTCGGGGCAATAGATCCTACACTCGCGCAGTGCACTCAACAGATGATTGCACTTCCTTACACAGTCTGTGTGTGTGCAAAGAGAGAGATCGGTTAGTGATCCAGTCAGTCAATCGACTCGCTCATCCACGCATCGGCTTGCTGTCTGTCTGGGTGCATCCAAAACCTCGCACGCACGCCTCCCTGCATGGCGGGGCCCCAAGTTTGGCCCCCACGTCGATCCATTATTAGGGAGAGTCCTATGAGTGTTCCTACGACTGCAATCTCACGTTCGCTACATATGTAGAGAATGCTGTCCGTCCTCGTCCATAGCCATCCTCATCCATCTGTGTCCTCCTTTTCCGATGGAAATCATCAATCCGCTGATGTTCGGTTTCTGTCGCGCGGTTTCCCGTGGTCCCGCCCTTTCTGACGGCTCCCGTCCTCTGTCAGTGATGGTCGGATGTCGGTGGCTGTCGGTATCGCTGTCGGTGTTGCGAAACGCCCTCAATTTTTCTTGTCCTTATCGGGCGTTGCCGAGATGTCTCCAGGAGTACACGCAGAGACGGTACGACTAAGATGGATGAGGATAGGCCGAGCGTGCTGTGCTGATGCACTGCACACGTCACAAATGACCGCCCTGCTGCTGTGTTTCTTCATTGTCTGCAGATGAGGATAAAGCGCAGGTGGTTGCTCTGCCTGTGGCCGCAGGTGCTTTCTAGTGGTTTGTGCAGGTGGGGCTGCAGCTGTGCTGACGGCTCTGACGCGGCGGAGCGAGCAAGTTCGACCACGGCGACCTCACGACTGGACTCACGACGACGATGAGCCGCCCCGCGCAGTCACGGACATGTCACAAGCGATGTGTGTGTGTGTGGTTTCTTTTTTCTTCTTTTTTTTTTCGGTCCCGAGTTCGAGCCGCATCAGACGTTCATTCGGACGCCAATGGGACGAGTAAAAAGTAAACTGAAGGAGGAGAGACGCTCGTGGGCAGTGGTGTGACTGCGTCAGCTGTTCGTCGCTCGGGACGGCGCACATAGCAGAACAGTGGTGGGGCAGGAGAACGGCAATGGGGTGGCACCGATAGATCAGGTTGGACGAGTCTGTGACGAGTATGTCGAGAGGAAAGACGAGATTGACGGCCTGCCTGTCATAGCTATTGTCTACGCCATCCTCATGCCCTGGCTGCTGACTGCACGTGGCACCCAGCTCGTCGTTGACGGGCACGCATTCCCTTTCTACGCTGTGGTGGTGGAAGGCGATGAGGAAAGGAAGTATCCAGTTGCAGTCCACCAAGCCGGTCAGCACAAGGATGCGCGGAATGCATGCAGAACACAGAAATGGAATCCGTGTGTGTGTGGTGTGTGGTGTGTGGTGTGTGTGGTGTGTGTGTCGGCCCTCAGGTGAGAAACAGAAAGGGTCGGTGGAAGTCATCCACCAGCACCAGCAGCGCGTCGCCACCTGCTCCCTCTCGTCTGGAGTCGCATACACCAATGTGCTGTTCGTGGCCTTGGTCAATGACGCCAGCATCGGTGGCGATTTCAAATCTGCCCGCGGACCAGAGGCCAACGCCAGGGCTTTCGAGCGGTGCAGAGGGTCCAGCGGCCATACCTACACAGAGGTGGGGACGGCTCGCCTCAAGGCCATCCTGGAGTACCCGTATGGCCTGGAGAATGCTTTTTGCCAATGCTGGGCCCAGCCCATGGTCCACCAACCGAAGAATTACAGTGAGTCAGCCACCAGAGTTGACAGGCTCTTGTCAATTTTGCCGTTTTGTGTGCGCTTGCCGTTTTGTGTGCGCGCAGGCAAGGACATGAGGTCGGTGTTCGTGAAAGGCGCCTCCGACCCCAGCCGTGCGCGCCCCTGCAGTTCACCACCGACGACGGAGAGATCACGAAGGTGAGCTCACTTGTCGCTCCGCGTGCTTCAGATCTCACTGTCCTTCTCGTCACTGTCTCAGGATACTCGCCGCCGAGTCTCGCTTGAGGAGAAGCAAGAGGTGATTGATAAATTTCATGACGAGGCGCCGGCCGTCGCCAAGGAGATCTTCACCAAGATGGGAGGCAACTGGGACGACCTGGCTATCAAGGTCAAAGAAGGCGACTACGAAAAGACCGCCAACTACGTCATCAAGGTGGTTGAGGCATACTTCGCCAAGTGAGCGTCACACGCAGACATGGACACACACACATACACACACGCACGCACGCACGGGCGCACACACACATACATCCACACGCAGACATCCATTCCTCTCCGTCTATTCTGTCATTAGGTATCCATTGGTGTCCCTCACCGAGCACGTTAGCGTTGGCTGCCTCCCAGGAGCATCCATCGACAACCGGGTGCCCGAAGAGTGCAATACATACTGACTTTCGTCAGATTTTCGTTGGTGCATGAGGGAGGGATGGAGGGAACGAGCGACGCTGTGTTTTTTCACTCGGCTGGGCGGCACACCAGCCAATGACATGACTGACCTGGCGTCGGCGCCGATGCTGATGCATACCTGTATGGTGTTTTACCCATTGCGAGCGTACGGATCTCGTTAACGAGAATGGTCGTCTGTCTGCATGGTCGTCTGTCTGTGTGTGCGTGTGGTCTGGTCGATGCAGAACACCCGACGGTCTCACCACACACACCCGTAGTGCGTCTGTCTGTCTGTCTTCCTGTCTGTCTGTCTTCCTGTCTGTCTGTCTGTCGGTGCGTGTGTTTCGTTCTCCCGGGAAAGGGAAACAGGGCGAGAGAGAAATGTGCCTTGCCTGCCTGCCTGCCTGCCTGCCTGCGTCCCTGCCTGTCTGCTTGCAACTGCGGCCGGTTTATCGTTGGCGTTTTGTGTATTGGTGCATGTGTGCGCATCCATTCTCCATGCGTCTGGTCGTCTGTTGGGCCGTTGAGCATCTCCCTGACTAGTTCTCTGGATGTTTCCGTGTGTACTGTGAGAGAGATCTGGTGAAAGTGCCCCCCCTCCTCGCATCGTAAGGAGTGACCTGCTCAAGAGAGACGGCGATGTCGTAGCAGTTTTGATATGGCTTGGCTGCCTCGTGGTCTGTGCAAACACTTCATGCCGTTCAAAGCAGATTCACAGAGCGCTTCCAATGATGGACACTGACGCTTCCTGCCCCTTCTGCATGATAGACATGCCGCTGACAGCCTGTTGCTCCTCTCGAGGCAGCCAATGAGTCCGCACTCGGTTTTCCTCGGCGTGTTGCATCAGATCCGGGTCAAGGCCGTCACCACGAGCACCAGAGGAGCAAAGAATGAAGGCAGAAGATGCTTGCACGGAAGGGCGTGCGAGTGCGAGCTAGGCGATGATCGGAGCCGAGAGGCCGGGCGTCCTGGGAAGGAGGCGGGGGCGGCGCCGTGGGTGTCGGCGGTGTCGTATCGGGCCAGCCTGTGAAGAGATCTCTGAAAAGGAAGCTGGATGAATCAATGAATGATGTAAGCCTATGAAGGAGAGGCAGGTACACCTACTTAGGTGTTGTGTCGATTTTGTTCTCTCTGCTGAGAGCGGTTTTTTGTGCCTCGTGTGTGCTTCATGCAGTGAATCAGATCTGATCCCTTGCAGTGTCGCGACTTCATCATATCGGCCGAGATACAGCAGGTGGGTGTGTTGGAACGGTTAGGCGATGACGGTGCGTGTGTGACTGTCCCATTGGTGCATTATTTCAGGTTCGCAGTGAGACGAAGCATGAGCCCTCCGCCAGCCGTGACGGTCTGCTGCCTCATGGTACTACCGATGGCTCGCAGCCTCGCACTCGGCGACCCCTGCAGCCAGCCGTATGGCACAGGTATGCCAAACCTGCGACATGGAAAGGCGCAACCATTCATTGATGTGTGTGTGTGTGTGTGTGTGTGACGCAGGCTCTCCGCCGCACGAGAGTGCGCTGACAGGGGAGGAGAGAGACCACCGTGCCCGCACGGGGGTCCACATGGCCCCGGGGCATGTGTGCATCGGCAAGTGGGCCACCCACCGGCGCAAGCGGATTCACGCCGCTTCTTGCTTGCCGCATCGTCCAGCGGATGCAGCTCACACAACGGCGTGTTTGTCGTCTTCCCTCGTCACCGCCTTGTTCGCACTTTTCCCGGCTACAGTCTACCTCTCTGGAGCGCTCAGTCCCCCCGTCTTCGTGACCGGTGCGGTGCTCATCTCAGCCGTACTCATCAGCAGCACTTGGGGGCGGCACACGCCGAGCAAACCAGGCGGCAGCACGGGCCACCTCCTCAACTGCACCTGGTCATTCCCATGGGTCTCACTTCCCATCGCCGCCGTGGGCGTTACTTTGGGGTGTATGATGGGGTGGGTCGGGGGCGGGGGTGCCCGGACGGTCCCTCTGCGCCTGGTGTGTGCCACCCGTGTGGGGTTGGCTGAGCTCTGGGGGTCGAGCTGGCGTGTGTTTGATCGCCTCGTGTTCTTCTTCGCTTGCGTCTGCCTGGCCGATTTCCTTCGCATAAAGATAAATCGTAAGCTGAGAGAAAATCTTACGGTTACATTGCCCTTTTGTGCATTGCCTCTTCCATTGTGTGGACATGTAGGCTCTAAGTCGTCCTGTTGGACGAGCGTCGTGCGGCAGGTCGCCGGTGCCGTCTTGAACACCGGCGTCTGCATTTTCACCGTTTGTCTGTGTGGTGCCGCCGCAGCCCCCCTGGCCTCAGTCGTGTACGGCGAATTGATTGGCGTCCCGGCCTCTGTCTACGGCCTCGCCGTGATGCTCGTCATGGGCTGGGTATCCTGCCCACTGATGCACCATGGGGGCGAAGGTGCAAGTCAGTCGGCCAGCGGCAGCCCCACCAGTGGCCCGGCGCACCAGCAGCAGGGAGGCGGAGCTGGACCTGGGCGCGGCAGCGGGGACGGCTCGCCGCCAGATGGCGAGGGTGAGGGGGGCGGCAAGGGGGACGGCGATCAAGACGGTGGGCGAGACCACCGCCGCCGTTCGACAGCTCCTGGCCGTTCCCCGCGCACGGGTGGGTGCCGAATGCATGAATGCACACATCGTATTGATTGATACCTTTCTGTTTGTGTGTCCCTCTCTGTCAGCCATGAGGATCTGGGTGTTTGAGGCGGACGAGGCTGAGGTCGTCTCCAAGGCCGAAGCGGCCGACATTGCAACTCGTCGAGTGCCCCCCCACCTGATGCAGGAACAGCCGCCGTGGCCCGACTGCGTCTGCGTCGAGATGGACGGTCAGCCGACACACACACTCTCACACACACACTCACACACGCAGGCAATTCAGTGCATTGTTTTCCCGCTCGTGTCTGGTCAGGTACGACGCGTTCGGCCGTTTCTGAGCTGCTCAGCAGCAGTATCCCGCCCCTGTTGTTTCAATTCGTAGACGACACGGACGGTGCGCCGCCGACAAACGTCACCCATACTCGTACATGTGCTGCATATGTGTCGTTCGTCGGTCTGCTTCAGGTTTCGGTCGACCCAACGCCCCCCGCGGGCAGCCACTGCAGCAACACAGCACGGACACACCAGCAGGTGACTGATGCTGACACATGCGTACTCGTGAAGCCATCTCATGCACGCCTCCCTGTGCCTGCCGTCTCCTAGGGTGGCCCCATGGTGGATATGCGCATCCCGGCATGGAGGGTAGGTACATGTACAGGAATGAACATGTGCACCCACTTGGCTCTCCTCACTCCTATGCGTGTCAGAGGGTGGTGACGTGGCCACCGCGTTCCCTCTTCAGGTGACACCCCAGTACGCTCAAGCAGGTAACCTCAGTGAACCAGCTCAGGGAGCGACTGCGTTGTTTCATGCGCGTCGCCCTTTAGGTGCACATTCAACGGTCCCTCAAGCGGCTGCTGGGCACCTATCTCCTCCTTCGGATGCGTTCTCGCCCGCGACCGACGTCACATTGGTACGGCGGG